TTAATTTAATTGAAAATAAGAATAAAATTTGTGTAATAAAATTTTACTTTAGCCCGAATTAAAATTAAAAATTAATCTGAAATTATAATTTTGCCCAGATTAAATTATAATATTATATGAAAAAATTATCTATCGTATTGTCAGATAAATGTACGATATGTATCCTATATTTACCCGATATCTATATAACATGTGTCCGATATTATACTGACCAATATCTATATGATATTTATACGACATGTATAAGATATGTGCCCGATATTATACTACCCGATATATGTGTAATATGTGCATGATATCTATAATATATATTACTGAACTTCTGCATAAACATTACAGATATCAGGTACCCGATATGTGTGTAATTGTTGCATATCGTATACATATCATATACATATCTTACATATATCTGGTACCCGATATGCAACCGATAGCCTCGATTTTGATCTGTGTATGTATTGCTATTTCCAAATGGTAATGACAGTTGGCATCTGAATATACCACTTATAGGAACTAGGAAAGAAAAAAATGTTACTCCAATGCAATATTATTCCTATAGGTTACAGATTAAGAATGGTGATTGGCTGCAACGTGCAGGACGTTTATATCAGCAATATATTGTTGATCAATATGCAAAAATAGAGCAGAATCGTCTGAATTACCTTAAATTCAACCAATCATCACTTAGAACTGAATTGTATAATGGTGCTGTAGATGCAATACATGCTGGAGATAGTAGCAGGGATATTGGATATCGTATAATTCTTTCATTGTCATTTATTGGTGGTTTACGTCATATGTATTAGCTGTATCAGGATGCAATGGCCATTGTAAGTCACTTTGGAAAGCCTGATCTTTTTGTTACTTTTACATATAATCCTAAGTGGCCAGAAATCACTAGAGAATTGCTACCTCAACAGAATGCAGCTGATAGGCCTGATTTGACAGCTCGTGTCTTTCATATAAAGCTACGGAAGCTGCTAAAAGATCTGTGTGAAAAATATTGGCTTGGTAAAGTTATTGCATATGTTTATGTGATAGAATTTCAGAAGCGTGGTTTACCTCATGCACATATTCTATTGATATTAAAACCAGAGGATAAATTACGATCAACAGATGATTATGACTCCATTGTTTCTACTGAAATTCCAGACCCTGCAACACATCCTCTTGCTTATAAGATAGTAGCAGCCGTTATGATGCATGGCCCATGTGGTGTAATAAATCCATCTGCACCATGTATAAAGGATGGTGTATGCCAGAAACATTATTCTAAAAGATTTCAGAAAAATATACAAGAATGTAATAATGGATATCCTATTTATCACAAAAGGGATACTGGCCATTTTGTTGAAACTAGAGAGGGCATTCAATTAGATAACAGATGGGTTGTGCCACATAATGTAAAGTTAGTTACAAAATATAATGCTCACATTAATGTTGAGATTTGCAATTTTGTTTTAGCAGTAAAATACCTATACAAGTATGTTTATAAGGGTCATGATTGGGCAACTATTGCTCTTTCACAATCTGATAATATTGGTGATCAGCAAACATCAGTACCAGTTGAAGTTGATAAAATAAAAATGTACCTGGATGCAAGGTATGTTTCAGCTTCTGAAAGTATCTGGAGAATTTTCCATTATAAAATGCATGGCCGTTCTCCAAATGTACAAAGACTAGCAGTTCATTTTCCAGATCACCAATATATTTCTTTTCAAGAGTGAAAAAATCTGCAGGATGTTATTGAACATATTAATATACATCCAACAACCTTAATAGCTTGGTTCCAAGAAAATTTAGAAAGTACTGCAGCACGTGAATATAAATATACTGATTTTCCTATTCGCTATACTTGGGATTTATCTAATCACACATGGAATCTTCGAAAAATTACAACAGAAGCAATTGGAAGATTATATATGGTACAACCTTCAGAAGGAGAAAGATATTATTTGCGAATCTTACTTACTCATGTTAAAGGTGCAACCAGCTTTGATGACTTAAAAACTGTTAATGGACATATGTGTAGAAACTTTAAAGAAGCTTGCATTCTACTAGGTCTTCTTTAAGATGATGCTGAATAAGATGCATGTTTACAGTTTACGACATAAATATTCAGAATTTTTATTTTTATGCATAAAGGAGTGCTGTCACACCAAGTCTTGTGCAACCAAAATAATAATTAAAATGGAAGTTGATCAGCCCTTTTTAAACATAAATATAGCGTGAAAAATTCTCACCTGATTGTTTATCAGCAGCAAAATAAAATCATGGCACCCACTTCGGTATTTGAAATGCAAAGGTTGACTGTTAAGGAGCTATGGGATAATAATATACGAAAACCCTCTGAAATAATTAAAATGACTGGTTTTCCAAAGTCTACAGTATATGACATTATCAATCGTCTAAAAAAAACAGGAAGTGTTGAACACTTACCCGTTCCTGGTCGTCCTCTTGTTCTGACACCAAAAAAACGTCGATATCTTGGCCGTCTTCTTAAAAATGATAATGCAACAACTTCAGCTTTAATGACAACAAAGCTGAATAATTTGTATCCAGATCTTAATGTATCAACCCGAACTGTACAACGTACTCTTAAAAATAAACTTAATTATATTGTTTGTAGACCATGGTCTGTTCCTCTTCTTAAAGAAAGTCATGTTGAAGCTCGTCTTCAATGGGCCTTAAATCACATCCAAGATGACTGGACTCACACAATTTTTTCAGATGAAAGTACATTTCAGACATTTCGTAATACTCAAATTGTACGTTACAAGGCTGGAAACCCACATCCAGTACATCCTATGGTAAAACATCCATATAAGGTTCATGTTTGGGGTGCATTTTGCCGCCAAGGGCCAATTGGAGTTGCATTATTTACAGAAAACATGAATTCTGCTAAATACCGTGAAATCCTTCAATCTCAACTACTTCCTAATGCTTATCATGCTGGTTATGGATGGAATTTTCAGCAGGACAATGCGCCAATGCATACCGCGAAGCTTACTCATCAATTTTTTGTGATTAATAATGTTCCGGTTATTGATTGGCCTGCAAACTCACCTGACTTGAACCCCATCGAAAATTTATGGGCGATTCTTAAAGGAAATGTAGAAAGAAGGGTTAATAATTGGGTTATGAAAAAAAAATCACTTGGTGCTAATGATTTTCAAGGCATAATTCAGCAAGAATGGGATAATATTGATAAAAATCTCTTCTTTAGTTTAGCAGATAGCATGTCAGATCGGATTAACATGGTCATAGAAAATAATGGTTATACGATAAATTACTAACTTTTAAAGTATGTTTATCTGCACATCTTAAGCTATTAATGGTATAAATTTGAAATAAAAAAAATAAAATTTATTATGTTTTTACATATTGTGATAAAATTCTGGATATTTATGTCGTGAACTGTATGTGAGACAAGTGAGATAAAGACAGGTCAACAACTACGACATCTTTTTGCAATGATTCTTCTTTTTTGTCAACCAGCAATACCTGAAGTGCTATGGAATAATTACAAATTAGCATTATGTAAAGACATAATGTATCATCATAATCAACAAGTTATGCATGATGCAATTGAAAATCAAGCACTTAATCAACTGGAACATTACCTGCTGTTAAATGGAACATCACTAAAAAATTTTCCAAATATGCCACTTCCTTCAGAAGGAATTGATAAAAGTGGTGATGAATTAGATCAATTAATTTGTGAAGAAAGATCATATAGCATCATACAGCTGGAAAATGAACTACATCAAAATGTTCCTCTGTTGAATAATGACCAACATGCTATATATGATGCTGTAATGCAGGAAATTGAACATACAGATGGCATGTGTTTTTTTGTGAATGGACCAGGTGGTACTGAAAAGACATTTCTATATAATACCTTGCTAGCAAGTGTTAGATCACATGGTAAAATTGCATTGGCAGTAGCATCCTCTGGAGTTGCAGCACTTTTAATAAGTGGTGGTAGAACTGCACACTCTCAATTCAAAATTCCAATTAAATTAAATGAATCCTCAACATGCAACATTTCACGAAGGAGTAAAAAGGCCCATTTGATTAATATAACAAAGCTTTTTATCTGGGATGAAGCTCCAATAATGCATAAATTTGCATTTGAAGCAGTTAATTGAACATTCTGAGATATTACATAAGTAGATAGACCATTTGGAGGAAAAACCTTTGTTTTTGAAGGAGATTTTCATCAAGTATTGCCTGTTATACCACGTGCATCTCACGCTGATATTGTCTCAGCAAGCTTAAGTAGATCATTTGTATGGAAATACATGAAAATGATGAAATTAATAACAAATATGAGACTTTGTCACACTGATAATTCCCAAGTGAATCAAACCCAAAAAAAATTTGCAGAAATTCTCCTAAAAATTGGAGATGGCAAGTACCCAATAAATCCAAACACAGAAAACATGATAAATCTTCCTGCAGATATTGTAATACCTAATGGAAATTTGACAAACCTTATTGATTTTGTCTATCCAAACTTGGTTGAAAATTCTGGGAATGCAAATTACTTGGTTGGAAGAGCTATTTTAACTCCAAAGAACATTGATGTTGAAGCAATTTCAACTATAGTAATGGATCGATTTCCAGGCAATGTTAATGTGTATCCCAGTGCAGACTCAGTAGAATTGACAGAAGATAGCAGTGCAGAACAACCTCAAATATATTCACCCGAATTTTTAAGATCATTGAAAATTCCTGATCTTCCTCCTGGTAAATTGAAGTTGAAGGTGAGAGTGCCAATAATACTTTTGCGAAACTTGAACTCATCAGAAGGCCTTTGTAATGGAACAAGATTAATTATTTGTGGACTTCAAAGTAAAGTGATTGATGCAGAGATTATGACAGATTCTAACATTGGCTGACATACCTTCATATCCCAGATCACATTAATACCTTCTGACAGTAATCTCCCGTTTATTCTAAAATGACGACAATTTCCAGTGCGTATTGCATTCTCCATGACAATTAACAAGTCGCAAGGCCAGACATTGAATAGAGTGTTTCTTTATTTATTACAACCAGTTTTTTCACATGGTCAATTATACATTGCACTCTCAAGAGTTACTTCGTACCGGTATATCAAAATTCTTACTGGTGAAAATAACGGATGTCAAACAAAAAATGTTGTGTATAATGATAATATTATTTTGCATGAGCAATTATTTTTCAAATAATGGTTTAGTCGGCCGAAAAATAATTAGCTGTAACGTGATTCAAGTATAGATCGTCATGGAATTCCAGGGGATTTTTCTGCGATTAAACCAGGTCTAGATGATCGGTAGCTCCATTTTTCAGCTAACTATACCATTATAAAAAAAATAATCGATTTCACCGGCCCTGTGCCTGTGTTACCCACTATAAAATAAAAACTATTATTGGCAAGTTTGTGTATTTACATGTTATTTGACTATAATAAATTTATTATAGATATGGGCTTTAATTAATTTATTATGTTCGGCTGACATGTAACTACGCAAATCTGCCGATATGTTCCGAAATTGAAAATCTTTTCAATTTTTTTAGTAATTTTCACCACTCTTTATGTAAAACGAACTATGAATGTTATATAAAATCTCTGGCAGTTGCATTTTATTTCAGAAACCTACTGCGTTCTTACAAATTATATTCCAGATTTATTAGAAAAATCTGAAATTTTATTCAGATTGCATAACTTTTACTAACATCTTGAATTTTAATAAAAATTTGTTATATTAAGTTAATTAGTTTAAGTTGGACCGATTGGGTCCAACTTTGAGGTTCTCAAGTTGATGATAATTTTGAAAAGATTTTCAAATTTTCTGCCAAAATTATTATGCGTTTAATAAGTTTCGCATTTTCTTACATTTCAATCACATACACTAGGGTCTTACATGATACTTACTCTATTGCAAAGCAACGGGCAGCAACTAGTATTACTTCAAAAAAAAATCTAAATTTCCCATTAGAACTTGAAATCTGAACTTTAAATAGCCAAAAAAAACTCATTATTAGAAGAAAACACTCAAACATTATGGAAGTTGTTATTTTATATATTTATTATAATAAAAACTCATCAATAATCTAAAAAATTATTTTATTAATCAAGAATATATATATTCCAAAGTTTTCTCAATAAAAATTAAAATATATAAAATGATCATCTAAAGCTTTAATCAGTCTGATTCTAATTTGACAATCTAGACTAAAAATTAGAATTGGTCTAGTCTGATTGATTAAACCAAAATATTCAATCTGATCTAATTCAGTTTTAGATTATAAATTTAACTCAGACTGAATTAAACAAGTTAGGGCTGAACCAAACTGAATAATTATTTTCACAATAGTTTTTATTAAAACCATTGTGATTGTTTAATTATTAAATAAAAAAATGTTGCAAAATATTTTTTGAGTATTGCTAATCTTAACTGAGAGGATAATTCCTCCCTCCCTTAAGAATTTAAAAAAAATAAACTTTTTTTATGAAATATACAAAATAAATATAATTGGATATTAATCGCATAAAAATTTGGCAATTCTTGGTTTTAAAAAAAATTTTTATCATGAAAAATACAATTTAACTATAAAAATCAAAATTATGTACTTTTCTCAAAAACCATCTGAATAACTACCTTTTTTAACTTAATAAAACCTTTTCTTCTCATAAATTTACATATAATCTTATTTTTAAATTATTATGTAAGTCAATATTTTAATTAAAAATTGAAATAAAGGGAGAAGAGAGGAAAATTTTCCCAGGTTAAGTTTAGTAATTCTCATATTTTTTTTAATACATTATTATAAAAAAAAATGTTTTTATAATTAATTTCATAAAAAAATATTGCAAAATGATTTTCAAAGTAATTTTAATTAAAAAAATGTAAAATATTTTTTCAAAGTAATTTTAATTAAAAAATGTTTTTGCAATATTATTTTAATTAATTTAACAAAAAAATACTACAAACCATTTTTTAAAGTAATTATAATTTTCACAATATTTTTTATTATAAATTGAATCAGATTGAACCAAAATAACTGGTCTAGTTTAGTTTAATCCTAAATTATCTTTTTAATATAAACTGGACTGGACTGAAATAAACTAATTTTTCAGTTCAGTTCAAGGATGATGATTTTTTGTGATCACAGAATTTCACAGAAAATCACAAAATTTGGCTATAAAATGTTGATAATTTCAAGTTTTTGGCCTGATTTAGGATTTGAAATCATTATAATTCTGGCAGACACAAAATTTGGCCAGAATTTATGAATCGTAATGTTGGCCAACCTTGCATAATTCTGGTCAAATCACAAAATTTCACAAAATTTACTTTTATTATACATAAAATTTACTTTATATCACCGCAAAAAATCATCACTGGTTAAAAACTAAGGTAAACATAGCTTGAGCTTGAATTTTATTAATTAATGCCGAAGTGACTTTAGAGAAACACAGAGTGATCTAAAAAGCACCGCAACAAGTGCAGAACTAATAGAAAAACAAAGAACAAATAATCTTCCAAAATTACATATAAGAAAAGCTAAGATTAATAACCCACCCTCTCTATATAAATAACTACGGCTACTCCCCCCAAATATATCTCAAAATGGGTAAAGTCGACTATGCTATACGTAACCCATCCAGCGCCGTACCCACTCCTAGAATCGGTAAAGAACCTCCGAGCTACCATTAGCACTATCAAAAACGCATAAAATTCAACTTCCCCTATTTGACTACATACTATGGATAACAAACCTATTTCACAAAGACCTCCAGGAACTTTTTAGTGTCATGCAGTCCAGCCGATGGGGAACTTTTTAGTGTTGTGCAATCCCCGAAGGGACACCCACCTCATTGCAAATGATCCCAAACAGAGGACACCCACCTCATTGCGAACGATCCTTCGACCTAAGATCTACCTAGATAAGTCAATCCAATGATAGTCCAACATGTGACCACCATGATCGGCATACTACAAAACTGCGGTACCCAACCTGTCACCCCCCTTATCACCCGAATGATGATCGATTTTGAAAATTGTAACACCAAACCACCATGACGATCAAATTTTCCAGTATCCCCCCACGTCCCAAAGAAAATAAGGTTACACTGAAAAAAGCAACCAAGAAAAACAAAAAGCAAAAAATAAAGACATAAACCTCAGGAAAACTCGAAGTGCAATGAGAAAACCCTGAGTAAAATTCACCAAACATACACCTCAACTCTGTCTCCTTATTTTAGAAAACTAACTCCCCAGTTAACAACATCAACTAGCAAGAAATACGTTGGTTAGGAGCTCCTTTCAAGAAATACCGGTCCGACCTGCGAACCACTTGGCCAGTTAGACTTTAAAGGCGTAGGAACCAAGACGCACTACTTTTCAACCTTTCAGAAAGCCCAGGGGAACGTTCGTATGGAACTGCCATCTTACAGTATTATTGGTAACTCCAATACTCATGATAACGGTCCTAACTCAATATAAGCCATAAGGAGTTCAGGTGAAACTAAAGACCTCAGTAATAACTTCATATAACGTCGAAAAGTCCTTTTACTATCACTCAAGGCAAAAAATCCTCATATTTTTCATTCATAACTTCATGGGAAAAAATGGGCAGAGCCCAACGGGGGAGAAAGTACGATCATCAGTTCTACTGGTTAAAAACCAGGCAAACGTGGCATAGTAGCCTTTATCTTTATTAAATTTATTCGAACTTTTACAATTTACAAAAAAATAAAAAGAAAATATAAAAAATAAAACTAACTAAAAACAAAGCTATATAGTCTCCTAAGAAAAAATAAAGTAAAAAATTAATCTAAAAAAAGAAAAATCGCATTACACTAAATTTCCCCAGATCTTCCCCCTTGATATATTCCAACCAAAGTAGAAGCAACTATGCTAACAAAATAACGAATAGCGCGCCCACTATATAAATCGACACTCCATCCTGCAAAAGCTGTTATTAAGTAGCACCTTTAGACGATCCATAAAACCCGAAAAGTGATTAAACCAAGGCAAACCATATTTCATCGAGTTCATCAACCAATCGGTTCC